GTCAGGAGCAATTGAAAATAGTTCATAAAACGTATCAGATATTTCAGTGAAAGGTAAAAAAGCTAATCCGAAAAAATGCTTTAACCAATTTGAAATTTCTGATTAATTTTGTCATATTCAATTTTAAGTCCCAATTTTTCAATTTGTCTATACCAAGCTTGTGCTAGGTGAAACCGGTGAAATTTAATTTATGCATATGGAAAAATACACATTATTATAAGCATTTATGATCATTATGAGCAGATAATTCAAAATTCATAAGTATATTTTGAGATATACTTATATAATAATTATTATATATATATATAATTAAATATATTAATTATGTATTGGTACATAATGTTTTTATTAAATGCCACATTTTGGCACAAATATCAGTTGTTTTGAATGGCAATATACAATACACCACTTGAACGTACATTTATTTATGTAGAACATGAACTGTATATAAAATTACTCTTGGTTGTAAAAATTACAATTTTTGTTTCTTTATCTACATGACAAAATGTTTCTTTACGATGTGTAGTAATTATTAATAATCTCAAAATGAAACTTATAGTGTAACGGGTGCAATATTTCTTTTTGCGCTTTTATCCTACTACTAAGGTACAAAAACGCAAAATGAATTTGCGCTTTTGGTCTATCAAAAAAAAAAAATTGACGATTTGTGCTTTTGGGTTTCACCGAAATGTAGCAGAGTGCTATAGTTGTAAGTATATGTCAAGTTATAACACGTACAATTATGAAATTTGAAAGTGCTTTTTTTTTTGCTTTTGTCAGCAATTTTTAAAAAAAATGCTTATTTCCAGCTTTTCTTATTATTTTTGCTTATTTGACCAGTTTTTTTTTACGTTTTTATAGTTTTCTCTTGCAAAGTCGTTTTTGGTAGAATCAAAATTAAAATTAATTCTTATCTACGGTGTCACGTAGTTCGTTGTCGTCCAAGGCATCATTGTAAGGAAAACAAAGATATTCCAACGCTGAAAATAGAACGGAGTGTCAAATGTCAGAATGATCAATAACAGAGAGAACAGTTTACATTTTATTTTTCAGAAAAATCACTTAGAAAATCCATATAATCCTTAAAGTCTTGAATGCTAAGATTTATTTTTATTTTGTTTGATTTTTTAGTTAGAATTTTATAGTTTTTTTCATTTTTTTTTTAATATTTTTGCTTAATTTTAAATTTTTTAAATGCTTATTTTAGTGCTTATAATGATGTTTTTAAGCTCTTATTTTAATGATTTTAAGTGCTATAAGTTCCGAACCCTACTAATCACTATGTAAGTGCCAAAATATTATCAATATTATTTATTACTGTACCACATAATAATAATTATTATGTATAATATATCTTCTTCTTCACATTTATTACTCTTGATGAGTTTTCGCCACCATCACGGTCTGCTTCCATTCCTCCCTTTTATGAACCAGTGTTCTCTACTCTCCTACTCTAATTTTATTTAGGTCTTCTTCCACTTTATCCAACCATCTCTCTCTAGGCCGTCCACGCGGAAAATGTTTTACGTAATTATACTACAATTATTATTATTTGTGTAAATTTTCATACGGAATTTCTATAAACGATATTTTTTTTTTCAAACAATGGTCATTTTCGTTGAATATATGATAAACTGTATACAATTATATATAGACACACGCAGCTGGTGCAATATGAAACAGTAATAGTTAAAATAATCGAGAACTCCTGCGTGTTGTGGAGGTTTTTGAATCATGCAGCAATAATTGTTCGTAGTGAGAGTAAAATAGTAAACTACAGTACACTTTAAATAATTCGTACCTCGAAAATTCGAAAAACTTTATTAATCGAAAATAATTAAGTATCAGGTGACGGATGAAACTCTACAGTTAAAACATTTTACGTCAAAACATCTGTAATCAAAATGTATTAATTGTATCTATATAATCTCAATTTAATGTAATTATAATTGTAGTTAAATTTAAATACTCGTATTCAATAAGAATATGTAATTTTAACATCGAAAAATATTGACGGTAATAGTATTGGTATATTACCGTAGTTTTCTGTCCTTAAATGTATAATTAATATTTGTTTATTAAATATACGAGTACATGTGTGTATAATAACTTTATTTAATGGATATAATTTCATTATATATACAGTGGCGTAAATTTAATTTTTTTATTTGAAGGGGGAGGGGGGAGATTAAATGAAAAACATAGTTTATATGTCAATATTAAACGTCCATTTTTACTTTCTCTGACAAAAAAGAATGTTTATATGATTCTATCATAGTTGATAAATACTAAATTTTATATTCACCTTAAAATATTCATGATTTTTACATATATTTTTTATTCTGATAAATTCAAAACTGAATTTTTTTTCGTAGTCCCTGGGAGAAGTGTCTCAAAACCTCACTTATTCGTATGCCACTGAAAATATATACCTACTCGTATATTAAAATATAGTTCAATTTTTTTTTTTTTTATTGACATTTTTGGTTAAACTTAATATGTAATTAAAATAAATATTTAATACAGTGTAAATTAAATAATTAACATGTATGTAGTGAAAAGTCGAATTCTATTTTTAATTCGAATTATTTCTTCTTCCCTCGATAACCGGTACCCTCGTTAAATTGAAAATCTCTCGAATTTTTAGCCTACCTGATAGGTATCCTAGATTTCGAATTACCGAGAATCGGCGGGAGGCACTTAGTAACTAACGCGAATCGTGATTCGATGTTTAAAAACATTTCTTTATAATACACAACGGATGCGCCGGATTGATGAGAGGGAAAACCTAGAAGGTCGTGCGAGTTAATTGTACCTACTATACTTTACGATTAGTTTTTTTATTTTATTTTTTTTTCCACGAGTTTTGCCTTAAGGTTCCGGTGTTATTTGGGTTAGACGCAATTACCGCTAAGTCGTTCGCGCGTTGAACTACTTACGTCCGAACTCTGTTCAGCCCCGGGGGTTCTTCGGGCTGGCCTTCGAGCGCGTGCACGACGCCCACGCGTTACGGTTTTTCCAGTCGCACAGACCACGACGCGTAACAATATTGTTTTAGTGACATTACATTAACTTTCCTCCCCACCTCTTCCGGTGATTAGTATATTTCGACCGTTCCGACTATTTACGTGATCATTACGCGCTGGCCGCGCGAATCGTTACATTTTCGTAATTACCACGTGTTACATCGTTATGCGCCCGCACTTCATAAGCACAGAGTACCGAACGGGTCAGTCAGCTGCCCGTCCGGTACCGATTCGGCCGTATCCTATTATCATTGTCGCGCACGCGCCCTTGTGGAGAGGGGCTTGTGTGCCGAATCCGGTCATCGCGACGCAGTCGCTGGCTGAACATAAACAGCGTTTTGGGACTTATCTAGGATAATTATTTACTTTTCTTTAGATATTTAGATTGGACTAAAAATTCATCTAAATGGATGTCTGCATACAAAAAAAAAAAAAAATTAAAAAAATACACATTTTCATTGTCAATTTATTTTATTGATAGTTAATACTTGAAATTCGAATTTTTAAATAATCTCGGTAACGTGAACTGAATAGTAAAGCATTTTTTTATGCTTTACTTTACTGGATATTAGTTTCAAGTGTGCTCTATAATATTTTACGAGTAGAAGTATAAATTAAAACACTCTTATTTTTTATTTTTTCTTTAAATAACCTTCATTAGTTTTTTTAGACTGTTCTATATGAGATATTGTATTATCTGAGCTTAAGATTTCCGATTAAATTAAATCTACTTTCTGCGGTTCTAGGGTTGTCACCGTATTATTCAGGATCCGTCTTAAGCTTCAATATAATGTAACGTATAATATAATATTATTATACATACATTAAATTTAAAATCAAGAACATTGAGTATGTAAGACACACTTTATTACTGTGACCAACCAGTCGTTTGTTGGTCACCATGGCCATTAAAACATCATGATGTACTAATTACTAACTATCTTAAAAAAAAACATTTGTTTAATGACATTTATATCCGTTGTACTCGAAAATGTATGTTTCAATTTAAGTATGATATTTGTTCAACATTACGACAATGTTCGATTAAGTGCATAGACCGAAACCTTCAAAAGAATAGTTACTGTTTAGTCAAATTAGATAAATAAAATATTTAATGAGGATAGCAAAATTACAATTTTCTAAAATTGCTCCAATAAATCTGTATTTTTATCATTAATTATTAAAAACCACAACTATAATAATAATAACTTTCATGGAGATAAATACTGATATTTTATGTTAAATGTACTAAAATACTTCATTGTCCGTTAATTATTATCTAAATGCTGATGAAAATATTGTTGAACAGATCATTATTACCAAGGCCCGTACAGTGTCAGACTGTAATTTATAGTCTATAATCTATCGTTCACTCTTGTAGACTATACATGTATTGAATATTATTTATCGGCCATTATGTTTGAATGCACCGATCACTTTTCACTAACTACACTATTGAACAATTTCTAATTATTTTTTTATAAAGATGTACCGAATACTCAATGAATTTCTCGATTTTGCCTTTGATTGTTGAATATGTGAGAGAATGGGTACCGATAGTATGGGTAAAAAGGAACATTCAAAATGTGTATATTATACGCATTTTAAATGTTCCTTTTTTAAGGTGGCTGGAGAACACAATGAATTCCTTTATATTGCTTTCTACAACAATACTAATAGATAACACGATTATATTGATACGTACTAAATAATTATTAATAATCTCAGAGCTTACTGATTTGAATTGTGTTTCGTATCGAATAAACTATTTGCCCATTGTTTTGAAAAATTATTTCTTGGAAAATTTTTCCATGTTACTTAATTTGCATTACCGTCTATACGAAAACTAATTTTTGTATATTGATCTTGAAGATAAAACTACAAAAGTTGTTCAAGTCTGCAAACATAACCACCATTACAGCAGATTAATGTTAAAATAAAATGATTAAATATTCAATTTAACATTATTTTCAGCTTGAATATTCCAATACGTTCAGCTTGAAGATTCCAATTCATTCAGTATTTAAATGTTATAAAATCAAACTACAAAATGTATACAATATTTGCCTGAACCATATTCTTCGATTATCGGAATCATATTAATGATGTAAGTATACATTGTATTACTACAAATAATAAATAACAGCAATTTTCGTCTTACGTATTTTGTTCAAATGTAAATATAAATTATACATCTAATTATACGTAATATGTATTTTAAAGTTAAAGTGTTGTATTAATTAATATATGAAATAACTAAAACTTGTAGGTAATTTATTTAGTTTATACTTTAACTAGTTATTTTATAGATTCATAGGGCTTACTTCGTTAACGTGTCAAATTGTACAAAATAAATATAATATCGTTTTTTTACTTGTATCAAAAAATATAATACTAAGCGGTGTGTTTGCAGAAAAAAAGAGGAAATGTGCAACTCGGAACGCTGCAATAGCCTTGTATGTACAAATAATTAATACAACTATAATTAAATAGGCATTAAATAAATAAAATATTATAAAACATTATAAATTAAAATATTTTCTATCCTTTGACGGGAATTAAGCCACAATTTTATAGAATAACTAGATACTCTATGAAATAGCTATTTAGAATATAATTTTCATTTTTTTCCTCTCTTTACAACGATCAGTTTTAATTTTTGTATAAACATTGTTACTATGGTGAATTTTTACAATTAACGTTGCACCATAACGTTCTTCAAATAAATGCAATTAAATTACAAATTGAAAAAAAATATAATTGTTGTGTTATATTATCACACTGAGTTAGTTTTACGCACGTAGACGTTATATTTTAACGTGTTACTCGATCCGACGTGGATTGGACCATGACGGAAATAAAAAGTTATTCTTAATCGCGGATCGGACGAGAAGTATATTCAATAATGTTTTATTGTAATAACCCAAAAATGAAAATGAAATGAAAGAGAGAGTGAAGAGGAAGTATTAGTGGGAACGATTAGGGGGAGATATGGATTGATTATGGATAGCGGTAGATATAGATAGTGAGTTTGGATTGATTACCTTTCTTCTTATTTAAGGGAGGGTTTTCGGGGTTACAATGGTTCGAGAGCTGATCAATGCAACTGGATAGTCTTGAAAGCTAAATAAAATAGCACTTACTTGTTTCGCAATAGATAAGCCGATGTTTCGAAGATCCGATTACTTATGATTGTTATAGGAGTAGAGTGAGGTTAAAATTAATTGATATAGTATTTATAGGACTGATATTGAACACTCATCAACTATCTCACAGAAAGCTTAAATCGTAAGGCAAAATAATCACACTTCATAGTAATTCGTCACAAGAAGCTCTTCGGAATGTCCCGGAGGTTGGTGGAACCTATAACCAAGAGCTTGCTCGACACGCACGCACTAACCATTTATGGACAAGAAGCATTTGAGGGTGTTGTTTGCCTAGGTATGTTATAAAGATAAGTATAACGGGATGGACCTGGACCGGTACTTAAGGGCTCGATCTACTTAGTGTATTGTTGGGTTAGGCCTTTACTGTTTAAATTGTGTTGTCTGTGCGCGTATCGAAAGATTCGTTATTTATTAGTTTGTAACATATTATATTATATAATCGAATAGTGTACATCATTATAATTAATTTATGACATGATCTATAGTCGAACGATGCACATCGTTACAATATTAAATATTATTTTAGGAACACGAAAATCCCACTGGCACGGCTATGTCCGTGGTGGAGTGGCGGGGGAGGGATGACGGGGAACACAGAGTTTATTAACACGGTCGATTTTTGCAAATAATTAGACCCGTAATAACCGACTTGTTACCGGACTATTGTTATAACGTGGGCACGGATTCAGATTGCCTTTCCGTTTCTATCTCTATAGTAAAATAATTCGAGTGTATACCCGTACCGCCGGCGCGTTGCAATTAAAGTGAAAATATCTTCAGCGCGGCCCATCATCTTCCATTTTAATATATCGGGCGGCGGTGAAGGCGTATTCCCGGCTTCCATTGTCCGCGTCCAGCGTTTGTTTGATCCAATCCCCAGCACATTAAACACGCTTCTAATTTATTATTATTATTATATATAAACGGAAAATTTTTATACACCAAAGTACCGACTGCAATGACTCTAGACGAATAGAACGTGACCGCCACACGTCGGCTGCGACGTGAACTCAAATACTTGGACATGTCTTTACATAAAAAGTATACAAACACTACGACGAACCTGCACCACTTAACCCCGTTTGCGAACGTGTGGGCGAACGCTTCGCGTTGACGTTGAACGACAACAAATTGTTATAATTTTAGGTTCGCCCGTTTTACCGCCAACGGCATGTGATTTTTTTTTTTTTTTGATTTATTGTTCAAACAAAAAAAGAATAAGCTAATATTAGCAACGAGGGTACGGACCTCAGTTGAAGATTTTTTTCAATTTATCTCCGTTATTTTCAATTATTCGAAAAACTGTAGATAAACTCGAAACATGTTCGTTTTGAACTATCAACTGGAACCTATTTCCTGTATTCTACTTTTTATTTGATGATGATCCGAGCAATCCTTGTGATCCAAATCGTGCACACAGATAATATAATACTATTTGATATCGTGTATAATATACCATATGAAAATTTTAAAATACTTAATGCGCGTTCAAAAGTTGAACTCTTGCTATCTTGGTTTAGGCCGAAATATTGATCTGTAGGTTTTTAGATTTTGAGTGAAACAAGGAATGTAATGGTTATGGTGAGTTTTTATTTCTTTTGTATGAAAGGTCTCTCCTATTGTCACGATCATAAGATATTTCAGATAGATAATATTGTTTAGTTGGTACTTTGAATGAAATCTAAGTCTTAAGAATTTCCCAATAATTGCTTTAATGAATGCGAAAACTAACGAAAACTTATAAAAATACGAAAAAAACTACAACTTCGATAAATAACGATTGTTTTTTTAATCGAAACTTAAAAAATTATTATTTTTGGGATTTGAAATTTTCACTGAATATTGGTTTTTTCAAATATTACGATAAATTGGTTAATAAATTAACCAATTATTAATAATATTAAATTATTAATTATTAATAATAAATATTATTGGTTACACAAAAAGTCTTGATTATTTATATTAAAGTATTTCGTACATATTTAATAATAATTAACGAAAAAAAATGTATTGAATATTATATCTTGACAAAACGATGTTTAATTTTATTACTTAATACTTAAAAATTAAATACAATATTTTTAAAACATTCAATGTATTAAGAAAAAAACAGGAAAATCGCAAAAATATTTTATGATACTTTAATTTTTTTATTTCATCGAATATCTATTAAAATGTATTAACAATTTAGTTGTTATCCTATAAATATTAAACGTAGCACCTAAAAGTAGCGCTTATAAGACTCAAGTTGGGACCTGCATAAAGTGAGTCTTATAACCGAATGAATTTTATAGGTGAATTGGATAAATGTACTCTATGTACATAAATGTAATAAACTCTATATTTACTAACCTAGGCCAGTAAAAGTCTACTGTATTGAAATTGCAGAAGACTCACTTTATGATACGTTTATTGTCATATTATATATATTATCAAATGTGAATCTACTTATAAACACTTATATCAGTATTCATATAATGGTATGTATGATATAATATAAGTATAATTTTCAAAATTTAAATTCAAATCATCATTGGTTTATGTTTATTATAATTGGTCTGTTTTAATTTATTTATATATAATCCTAATCCATATTCGAGAATAATTAAAATTTTAGAAGTGTAATCCTTTAATCGTGGCCTCTTGACACTTATTGATGAAAGGCCACTTAATACAAGGGTCTACTGCCCTACAGAACAATAGGCCAGTGGGTGAGGCCACCCCTGAAAATATTTTATGGTATGCAACTAAACATACGGATAGACATGCATGTCGTACGTGCGGCGAATGTTTAGTTGCCTACCGTAGATCTTCTGATTTTTTGGTCCTTCTATATCTCAACTTCGTATAATTGAATATATAATTATCTAAAATATCATGCACGCCATACGGAGAAGAACAGGGTACACGAATACGTGAATCACTATCTTGTTTTTTCGAAGGTGGTTATAGATAGTCGATTTGTAGCCCGATGCGTTACAATTTTAGTTAATGATGGCAGCAAAATATTATTACAGTCAGTAATTATGCTAGAATGAACATAAGCTATCGGTGTACAGTCCGTATTGGAAATAAAGTGTTGAACAACTATTAACGTTTTTAATTATAGGTGTCAACAAAATTATTATCAATTAATATAATTCTAAATACAAGTAAACCGTGTAAAATGTCTGCCGAATATCATGTAAAATACGACCAATAATATGTAATTAGCGGAAAAAACTTGTACGTATTCATACTAATATAATTGTTTAAAAGGGTAACAATGTTAAATTATTAAGACTAGTTAATAATATTTTGGTTGAACAACATTCTGTTTGTAATATCTAATAAAGCAAAATATTTGTCTATGTAAATAATGTATTGCCTAACTTCGTTGCCTAAAATTGTGAAACAATTTCTACAAAATTACTAGTAATTTTAGTCTTATTAGAAATGATAAGACATATTATTATTAATATCTATTTATATATTTTTATATATAAAAGCCAAATATTATTTACTCACTGATTTCAATTTTTTAAAAACTATTAAATACACGAACTTGAAATTGGCAACAGTGGTTCTTCAAATACTCTAGATGTATAATAAGAAAGGAATCTTCCGAAAATCGTATTATTCTGGATCGAAATAATTTTAGACTGGATGTATAAATTTTTTCACTTTTTAATTATCCAGGATATATTTAATTTTGTTTAATGTGTTGATTAATATATATGTAAATTAATGTACAGTATAAATAATAAAAATTTAAACATTCAAATATTAAAACATTTTGCGCTTTTTTCACCCTAAATTCTTAGGTTAGGGATTTGTGTGAATTTCTAATGTAAAGTAATAAAATATTTCTCTGGTGAAGCCGTGTAATTCATCTAGTTTATTAATATTATTTTGAAAAATAATTATTTTGTTATTTGCTTATGACGGTTATTATATAGGCAATTTACTTTACTTTCATGCTAGTGTATTTACCTGTTTGCATTTCCTTAAGTGATGAAACTTTTATGTGTTATTTATTTTTTTCATCAACATCGCTTGAATATCAAATATCTTCTATGTACATTAGTTTTATAAAACACATATAATATTTTTATACTAAAATTTGTCATTTGTTTAAAATAATTGTTCTTTTTAAATGTTATTGATTATTCAACTGACTGACTTGATTTATCTTAATATATCTTAATAAAGTGGTACTACGTTCAATTCTGTCATCGAAACATCACATCGCATATAATAATTATATGCGATGTGATGTTAGAGTTGTCAATACATTATAATTATTATAATGTATTGACAATTCTATAAATATTACTCCACAGTAATAGCATTTGGGTAAAAAAAAATTAATAAATTAATTAATCTAATTAATTAATTAGATATTATGAATATCTTATTGAATTTAAAAAATAAACTATATTATACTTTTTTATTTTTCAAATATATTCTTTACGAATTCATTGTGGATATAATAACAGATTAATCAATAAAACGTTTTATGAATTATTATTATAATATAAGATTATTTTTAATAAGTTTTACAAAATTTTAAAAATATTAAATTAAACAACGTAAAAAATGAAATTTTAAACAAAGAGACTTTGCTTTTAGTCATATTTTATATATAAAAATAATAATTATATATTTATTGTATAACTAAGAACAATTAATTTAAATTTAAATAAAGAAAATACTTTTCATTAAAATGTTTAGTTTCTAAAACAAAAATCATTGTTTTATTATAAGTATAATTTTGTACTATCACTGAAAAAACTCCGATGGAAGATTTCTTTATATTAATAATATAATTTAAAAGAATATAAAATCATCAATAATTAAAATAGTTTTTAAATAAATAAAAATAACATGTTAGACCTTATTTTAAATCAAATTGTATTTTGGGTATTTTGGGGTGAGTAAAAACTGTTTCAAAACTGGTAATTAACTATATAATAAATAACAATACATAATAATAACACATTCAGTGTTTGTATTATTGGTATTATGATAAATCAGATGTGAAATTAAATCATATGTCCAAAAAATGATAAGCTTATGTAAAAATGATTTACATGGCTATTTTATTATAATGTATAATAATAGACATTGTACTTAATATACTTAAAATATCATTCTTAATGTTTATATTTTTAAAAGATAACAATATTGAAAATATAATGTTTCCATGGTTTAGGTTTATTTGGAATGAGTTTTTATTATAACATATAAATATATTTAATTAGTGTTAGTATATATTACGCTACATTAAACAAAAACTGTTGTGGACATCATAAATGTAACGAGAAATGAAATGACAAAAATTATTTGGGTGATAAATTATAAATTAACCAAGTTTAAATTATTTTTCCTATCGAATTTCAATCATAATATTAATTAATATTCTTATTTATTGATTTTCTTTAATATTTAATAATTATTTATCAATTTTGAATTATTATTTTGAACAGGTGAATGTAATAGCAATATCTTAGAAAGAAAATTACGCAGATACCTAAACTGTTATGTTGTTAGCATTTTTCTTTCATTAAATTGATAAATCTAGTTTTGCCATATTTTATCATTTTACTCAAGTAATAAAATACAGTGGGGATCACGTCTATAAGAATTAATAACCAGTTAGAAATTTTGTTGTAATTAAAAAAAAAGTTTTACGTCAAATTAGTATAATATTTTTGTATGTTATATTAAGAAATACATGATACTAATACGTTCTAAGAATTTTGTTTAATGATAAATAGTATTTATATCTTATGATTGCTCAAATGACCTAGATATTTATGCAAATATATATTTATACTTAGTGAAGGTATTTAATGGATTTTCTATGAAATAAACAAGATTGATACATTTGTAAATGAAAACAATTTTTATTTAATATTGTATAAATTGCAGATATTGAATGTTTTAAACACTTTTTTTTTATATTATATTCTTGCATATTATTTTTTTAAGAAGTTCTTACCGGACGATATCTGGAGTTAATAATTATCAGTGCTATTTAAAATCTTAAGGAAACTATTTTACGGTTATAAAATAATAAGCTCATTAATTTATTTATTTATAAATTTATTCTATTATTATTCTTATTTTTATTTATAAAATGGAATATGATAAGAATAATATATTTTTTCACGATAGGTGGTATCATAAGTGCGAATTGTACATTTTATAATATTAATAATAATTTGGTTATCAATTGTAAATTTAGCAGAAATTATGTTACATTTTCAAATTTTTGTTTCGAAAGAATTGTTGACTTATAAAAAGAGTCGCAAATTATAAATACAAATACATATATTTATTGTTTGTACGAAATAGAAAATTATTAATTTGACTGTTATAGTAATTTACTATATTTTTAACAATATAGTTTTAACATCAAACTAAAATGTCACTGTTAGTATATTTTATTTTAATAATACTCATTTCAATTTGTCTTATATAATTGTTCATTTTAACTGTAATAACATAAAAGCATAAAAGTAAAAATAATTTATGGAAAATAATAATAATAGTGAGGGGGTGGTGTATATTTACGTATAATGCATTATGGGTTGATTACCTTCCATCTTGTTTAAGGGAGTGCTCTCGGGGTTACAAACGTTCGAGAGCCGATCAGCGCAACTGAATAATTTAGCAAGCTAAATAAAATAGCACTTACCTGTATTATAACAGTTATTCGAATGTTGACGAGCTGTGCACTTACAATTATCGTAGGAGTAAAATAAGGTGAAATGAGACAAACACAAGATTTGATGTACGACAGTTGGACACTTTTCAACACTCGCACAGAAAACTGAAACTAAACAAATTAATTATAAAATTTAAATATTCGTATACGGTGATTGCTTGTCACAGGAGACTCCTTCACTAATCTGACGACCTAAGATCAAGAGCCTCTGAAAAGGGTATTGTGTTCCTGTTATACAAGGATATGGCCGGATGTACCTTTGACTCGTTTAAAAATGTGACCTACTTATGATGTCAATGGAGTATTGTAGGGTTAGGCCTTTATTGTTTGATTTGTGTTACCCATGCGGATAACGAAAAAGCCGTAATTTATTATTTTTTTTAATCGTTTAAGATCATATGGTACACATTTTTATAAACAATTTGTGTAGTGTTTTACAATCGAATAATGCGTATCATTACACAATATAATCGTAAAATTCTCATTTTATATTTAGTATGTCATTTGCAGCTAGGGTATTTTTTTAAACACACGAAACCTACAAAAAAAACACTTAATTGGTCATCTTCAAGGCTCGGGACTTATAACATTTAAAACCATAAAAATAATTGCTTAAAAACATCAATATAAGCACTAAAATAAACATTTTAAAAATTTAAAATTTATTAAAAATATTTATTCAAAAAAAAAAAAACTATACTGTTCTAACTAAAAAATAAAAAAAATAAAAAATAAAATTGCTGAATAAAGCAAAAAATGGCACTTTCAAATTTCATAATTGTACGTGTTATAACTTGACATACATTTCTATAGTACTCCGCTATATTTTAAGTCAATCTATAATAATAAGCAAATGCTTTAACTCTCGAGCCCTGGTCATCACTCACAAATTAATTTTTCGCTTTATTAAGAATCTGAAAACATGGGGTGCTATTATTATTTTTGATACAAAATAATACAAATTTTAGTAAAAGCAAAATATGTCAGAGAAATGTATAAACATTTTAAAATAGATTTATTTAATTAAATTAAGATTGTTAAAATATAATATAAACTCGCGAAAAATAAATGTATACTGGAATTAGTTTGAGTTTTATTTAATATTATTGCGTGGGATAGAATACTTAAATATTAAAGACTAGTGGTAATATTTAAAGAACAGCTGAAAGACTCTTTTCTGTTCATTAAAAATTAGAACCGGTATTTGTAATGAGAACTAATTGTAGATGTTTTGGAAATAAAATTGGAATCGAAACCAATATTTTTTAAATAACTGGTTCGTCCCTGTAAACATCTGAATAACAATAATATTACTCAACGAAATGTGTAAAAAACGCATCGCATGTAGTCCGTGTTAGAGTGGGCGATTGAAAATCAATGGTACAGTATCATGACAAATAGTGATGAAATATGCCATACTAACAGTAATCTATGCTTAACAGTAATTATTTGTATTCCCGAAGCGAATTCATTATGAACGTATTAATAATATTAATTTAATTAAACTCCCGTTATTTTCGGATACTCGGAATGGCTCATTCGTGTGAATTACGTTAGTTAATTAATATACGTTTGTAGTGTACTGTTTATTTATTTAAATTATAGTAGGTATTTCTATCATATTAAAAACGAACTTCCACAAATACAAAAATAAAACGAAATTATTAAGTAACACATAAGCCTAACCTATTCGCCTAGACCGTAATGTCATACAATGATGACCGCGGTAAGGTTAAAATTGTCAAAGTTATGAAAAAAATTAACTCGATGTTGACTCTTCGAATGAAAAATGTCCGCAAAATTATTTTTAAAAAATAATTTGATTAGGTTTGTATCAAAGGATATATAAGATTTTTAGAAAACTAAATAACATTTATGTTTTGATAATAATGCTCAAAATAAATAATAGTCGTCAGAAAAAACTGGTGTTTGCTTTGTTTTTTATTGAATAATACATTTTGGCAATCGTTGCGATTTATTATCAACGGTTTCTTTCTTACACAATGCATTATTAATTATTATGATAATATAATGTTTTTCACTTTGAATGCTATCGGTATTATAGAATAATAAAATTTGATTTTATCCATTTCAGTCTCGTCCTGTAATTTTTGACGGTCACCGAACACAATTGCAGATACCTGAGATATGAGTCACAAGTCTGTGCATGTAAGTATTATGTCTATAACAATGTTTTACTTGTTTTAATTATATTTTTTATACGTGCGCTGCGGTAAAAGGTCACTTTTATTTTGATAAAAATCATGTAAAGTTCGTTATTATCTTGATCAAAAGAAATTCTTTAGCTATTAATATTAACTATGTGTTCATTTATATTTGAATAAAATAATATTAATGCGAAATAACGCTAGATTGCAATTTTTTAATTCTTTAAATTTAATATAATATATGTATTGCAATTTGTGGTTATATTTAGTAGTTTCACTTAATTTTAATAATCATCATGCTTTTTTTTGACAGTTAAATAGTATTCGCCTTATAGTTTTTTAAATGTATACTCGTATACTATTCAATTTATTTTTTCATTACATTTTTTTGGAAAATAATTTTTGAGATATAAGTACATCTATTACACTTGTTAATAATTAGATATACTGTTAGTATCCAAATAAATTAGGAAATATCATATAAAAAATTGTTCACAATCAAATTAACAACTAAAGTATTAAAACTTAGTAAAATTATTTTATATATCAATGAATTAGTCTTCCTAATAAAAAATTAATTAAAACATAGAAAATAAATGATCTAGGAAAGAAACTTCAAATAATGTAATATTTTTTACAAAATATTCAATTATTTATTGAAAAAACCAATACTCTGAACAAATGTTCCTGATTATTTTTTATTAAAATTAAACAAATCTTGCAGAACCCTTAGGTTCCGTGGAACACACTTTGGAAATGACTGTCCTAGTATATCTCTAATTTTTTCCCATAGAGGTGCATAATAAAAAATAAACATTAATTTTGTAATCTTTAAAGTAAATCTTTTTCCTAAAATATTTTCTGATTTGCACTAGTATGTGACAGGAAAAAATGTTATATTATTTAAAATACTTAATTGATCTTAATTCATGACAGTGTGAATTGTTTTTTTCGATGATTTGGTAATATATAAATTGTATGGACACAATAGTGTACATCGTTGTTTATCCTTCCTAGAAAATTTATATGAGTATTAAAATTAATAATTGTATCCTCGTTTTTATATATTCCTCCTTAAGACTATGTAATATACTTTCATATTTCTAACTAATTACATATATTAGATACAAATTATTATCACTCAAGTAGTCAAATGGAACAAATGTCTTTCTATATATAATCCATAATTTATAAATAATAATAATTAAATTTTTTTTTGTGAAATTAAAATTAAAATGTAATCAGCCTTCATAATAGTTATAGAGAGCTGAAATTACTAACAAAATTATAGCCCTATAATAGGGTAGGCCGATCAACGAACACAAATTATTAATTGTATTTGTTGGAATATGTTTTTTTTTCATCTTTTATGAGTAACCATAAACCAAAATTAAAATTAATTAAATTAAAATATATTTTTTATACCAGATAAATTTATAATTTATAATTAATAAACGATAAAAGAAAAAAATGTGTAACAATAGGAAATGAAGAACACTTTCTTTATGATGTGAAATAAAGGACACCCGTGAAGTTTTCCTTGTAACGTTTAAAATTGAAAAGACTCATCACATAAATTATGTCTAACCGAACATAAAGTTATGGAAATTGTGTCGGTCATATTATATAATACGCGTTATACTGTGCAAAATTGTGAATTTATCAACCTGTTATTAAAATCAAAGTGTAGAGGGATAGTCGTTTACTACTGAGCTCATATTCGATCGCATGTAAAACATGTAATGTTTGTAATAAGATGCGTAAACATTTAATACAAAATAATGTAATAGAAATTGTAGAAAGAATACTAGGAAGAATACGATTCACGAACAAAACAACGTACTTAGACGGAGAGAAATGTACAAGAAATTGTATACGAAAATATAGAATTTCACATAGACTTATCGTCACATCGTGTTTAGGCATTATAACGGTTTTGTCTAAAATTTGGATTATAAGTAACTATAGTGTATAATGTTATATTTGAATGTCATTTTCCGGCTGACGAATTCTTAAGGGATAATAACAGGGTATCACAACTCGTGACTGCGCGCAATGTGCTGTAATTTGAAACCAATCGCAAGATTATACGAAACCAAGAGGATACGCATCGCACCAATCCCTATATAAATATAAGTTTTTTTCTTCCTAGTGCATTGCAAACTTGTATGTGCGTATTTGTATGTATGTATGTATGTATGTGTGTGTGTGTGTGTGTGTGTGTGTGTGTGTGTGTGTGTGTGTGTGTGTGTGTGTGTGTGTGTGTGCGTGTGTGTGTGTGTGTGTGTAAACGTGATTCTAACTGTATTTTACTGTACCTATTGTGCATACACTATAACACACATTTATACAGTACTTATATATATATATATACACATTTTTAATTCTATGGAATCTCATTGTGACAATATTAAAAGTATAAGCCCATGCATATGAAGAAGTGCATAGAAGTGCATACGTTTTATTTTATTTAGAACTTTATATAGGCCATTTCTGTATCTAGGTGGACATTTTATTTAATTATACACGTGCACTTGCTATAATATATGGTGTACAGGTACCGCACTGCAGATAACATAGATGTGTGCATTTGCATATTACATGCGTCAACATAAATAGCATAAAAACAACTGCATTAATGATCTATTAAGTATGTTCTTCACTGCAGATGTGAGAATATTATTTTTCAACTGCGTATAATTTGTATAAGTTTATACTTTTGGATTAGTGATTCGATTACAGTAGGTATTGTAACAGTGAGATTTAAAAACGGGATATAACTAAATGTACCCGTGGAAACCTCCCTTGCATTATTATTTTAATAAAATTTGATCTAAACTTATATATAATTCAAATATTACTCATTCACTGATCAGCGTCTATAGGTGCAATAAGAAAGAATTTTTTGGTTATTACCTCTATGAGGTTTAAAGAAATTTTGGGCTGAATGTAGAGTTTTACTCACTTTTCGGAAACATTTTATGTTGTTTGATAAATTGAATTTAATAATTATCGATTATTAATATAGTATAAGTAAATAAAAATAAATATAATTTAAGTATGCGACAAGTATGCGCTCTATTCAACCTAACATTTTTTTTTATACATCGAAATAATTCCTCTAATCAAAATAGTTAAATATTTCCTGGACGATGCTGGGAAATTCAACTAGTAATAAGAATAAATTAATAACTCTGTTCCAATGCGTCTTGAAATAATTGAGTAGACGAGTGTTACAATAGTTAAATTGATTCTTCTGGGAACTATTTTACGACATGATAAAATTAATAATTAATGACAGCTTCATCGGGGATGATTGAAAATATGTGCACCTTAATCAATTAATAATCCAACACGGCATTAGCCACACACTATAACCAGTATAAAATAGTTAACTATAACGTATCGCATTGTTGAACATCTACACTATAATATCATTGAATACTCGAGTCGTATCTGAATCATTAAATTAAAAAGATTATGTAATTAATTACAAAATGTCTATGTCATTCATATAAATATGTTTTTTTGAACACTGAAATAAGTTATTAGTACTAGATTACCATTTGTTTCAATACCAAGTATCTAAATACGTTTTATGTTTTATTCTGTTCTTAAAATACATAATAATAAATAGAAGAAAAAAGAAATTAAACACAGTAATATACAATAAATCAATATTTTAGCACAGAAATGTCCAAATGGATAGTAATTAAATAATCAACAATTTTTCGGTACCTAATAAATTATAAGCAGTCTCGTGCGTTTAAATTAACTGTATTTGAATGTGTCTAAGGAGTACGATTTTATTTGGTGTGTGGTCAGTAATAATTATAATGATGTTTTCAATCAAATCTCGACGAGCACACGAATTCCAATATAAATATTCGAAATGCACTCTGCACAAGAGGGTTTCACTTGTATTAATATTAATAATAGTAATAATAGTAATAATAATAATAATAATAACGAAGAATGTTGGCGGCAGGCAGAAGTTATTTTGAGGTCACAGTCAAGTTGGGAACACCCGATACATAATGAATACCACTTTGACCTCAAAATAAAATTTCCGGGTTACTCACTCTATACAGTTGTCTGATGATTTTATGTATTTATATAATAATACGGTACAAGTACACATAATTTAACCGTGTATATGTTACGCTGAATTCGTGAAATCTTCGATAGTAAAGCATACAGGGCTTGAGTAAGAGAACGCAAAAAGACTCGGTCCCCCTACTTCTCGCATCACTTGAAATGCGTCATATTTGACTATTAAATATAAATTATCCGAAAAGTTGCAGAGGAACTGTTTGGTCAAAATAATCGTTCACATAAAAAGTTACACTGATCAGTTATTTTATTACATGTATTATACAACACGCAAGGATTTGATTTTTGACTTTGTTTATTCACTTTTGTTATTTTAAATATAATTATAAATACATAAAGTTGTAAATTATAATTTTGAAAAATATATTCTTTAGTTGTAATTGAGGAATTACAATTAAAATTGTGCTATTTTTAGAATATTTTCTTTTTTTTTAAACTTTGATATGTATTTTAATTGAGATGTTTTTATATGACGTTAAGCACTGAAAACATCAAATCTGGAATTTCTGGTTATTTGCGTAATACTTGTAGACTATCAGACTATCTAATGCCTGAACATGAGTAGTTTAAGACGATTACACATCATCATCAAAATTCTATGCTCTTCTTACTACTTCAAATAACTAATGATATTACTAATTTATATATAATAATATAATGACATAACTAATGGACAACTAATGATATTATTCCGGTAATATTCATCAATGCATTTAAACATTATGAGTTAAGTTGATACAAATAACTTCGAGTTATCGAGGGATTCGTGTTGAGGAAATTCGAATTATCGATACAATTTACATCCCAAAACGTCTGTTTTGAAACGTAGGGACTAAAAAAATTCGTTCGAGGTATCAAGGTTTCTCTATATTTTTTCATTGGGCGACTGTTGGATACGATGTATATCAAAATCATTATGAGAAAAACTGCAAATTGTTTTGAATTCGCGAGCACCATAGAAATGAAATTACCATGTTGGGAAGTGACTGCTATTAATATAGGTCTAATGTTATGATATACTTTTATTATTATATATAGAAGGACGGACGACCGACAAATAATCGTATTGTTCGAATCTGTGTGAAACGTTTATTCCAAATATTGCGTTCACATGCTTGACAGTGCGCTGTCTATAATAATGTTTGGTCTATAAAATATGCATAGAAAATGTGATTATTGTTTTACCAAAAGATTGAAAAGTAATACATACGGTTCACAATAGAACCTTATAAGTGGATAATAGCGTACTACTGCTGTTATAGTGAACGCACGCGTAAATAGGTACGCGACTTAGACCCATTAAGCGAGACATTTTGGCAACAGTGTCATAACGGAGAATTATTGATTATATATGTTGGTTTGAAAAAAAATCCATGAAAAATACATCAATGTTTGTTTGATGATATGAAGCAGCAGCGAAAATCTCAACAGTAGATTTGTTAGTTGCGAATTATAATCACCAAAATATGACAAATATTACATATCATGTTTGCAATTGATAATGTTTATACAACAAATAAGGTTGGATAGTACTGGATAGATTGCTTTGTTTATGACTAATTTTATATTATTCAATATTACCATTCAAATCAGGTTCGCATTGAACGACAGGACGTCTTTGATAATAATATTATGAAGCCGTACGAAATCTTGTCGTACGTCTTACGACTATTTTATATTAACAGGTTAGACTCTTTTTTTTTTTTACATAATTGTATGTACAATTCGTAATCAGTTTTATTATGGGATTATATACAGCTAAGTCTTCTCACGTACAACCCGTTTTGGCACTTCAATCAATTTCCTTTCGGAAAATAGCCTCAACGCCATAGTATATCACACATCTCACGCACTCCACAGCAACTTAAACAACGAAATAGTTTCAGTCACAGCTAAATATAATTAACAAAAATTAAACGACCACTCAATTAGTCTATATATTATTCAGCGAATCCTTACCTGAACACTTCTCTTAAAAACTTTCATCAACATCAAAGGGTTTCCAGCACTGGCGAGACTTTCTTCTCGTGAATTTCCAAGATTTTTTTTTTGTATTTATATTTTATCGAATTTACTTACTGTATGTAAGAGAAAAATACAGATTGTAAATATTCTATAGCTTAAATAAAACAATTAGTAAGCTTAATATTATATAATTACTGGTTCGCAAATCATTAATACTATCGGAAAAATGTAAATATTCATTAACTTCACGGCTGGGAGGCGAGAACATCATTGTGATGTTGTCCAAGAACCAAATAACAAACACTTGAACGGTTAATTTCACAACAAACATATTATAGCCATGCGGAAACTATAATTTGTCGTCGAACTATATTTTTTTAAACTTTTTTGTGACTCGGCGAAGAAATTATAGATATAGTTTTCCATGCTTCGCTGCAACACCAAACCCCGTTTTGCCCATTGCTCGTTTGTGTTTACAGTCACACATGCACTAATGGCGTGTTTTCATTGTATAAACGGGACATGAGTGTAAAACATAATCGCTTAACGGAATTGTGTGCAGAAAAACCCTTCGAAACATGATTCTAAAAACACTTAAATATGCTAATAAACAGCACTTAAAATTGAATACAACTAATTGAAATTTCACTAAGTGTCAGTCTACAAAAAAATAACCCAAATGGAAAAAAAAATGTGAAATTAAAAAAAATTGTATTCTTTATCGGATACGTGTTTGTACCGCATAATGTACCTACTGAACGATAAAAACACAAATTAGTACTATTGAATTTTAAATACGCACTAAATATGTAATTTAATATAAGAAATGTATGATAAAAACATGTTAAAAATATGCTAAACGTTGCTTTAGTGTGTCAGATTAATAAGAAAATGTTTTAAAAAATCTTCTAAGTTTTAGCAGATTTCGAATACCAACTTATTCCGAAAAATGTTTACCTGTTAATCATATGTTAATCATTCACATTTTTACGTATAGATCCGTTCTTTGGTAATGACGAATCCCGGTAGGTAATGGGCCATGGGCCCGGGGACAGTGACTCGACTCGTCCGCGTGATCCGTGTGCACGCGTGACGACCGGTGTTCGGATTACATCGCGATAAACATTGTTGTTCTACGGACACCGGGAATCGATTGCGGTTTTAATTGCAACGTAACCGCAAGCGTTTACGGGAAACGCCAAACATACCAAAATATATACGATCTGATGACTTGGAGGTGTATTTACGTGTACATTATTTTATGGATGTGCGCATCGCATTCAGTGAACTGGAAATATTATTTTTCCAATCAAATCAAACCATAGTGTAGGTAACGGCGCCGACCGTCCTAATTAGACGTACGCGTAATTCTACCGCACGGATATAATGCAGCTACGGAAGAAGAAACGGTTGCATGCAAATAATAATAATAATTGAACAAGCTGATTTTTTTTATTTTTTTTTTTTATATATATATATATAACGAAATAAATACACGCGCACTTGTAGAAAGTCGATATCATATCGAACATTCGCGCTATTATTATAGTCTCCTGGACGCATCATACGACATGTGTTCAATTCAAAATCACTAAACCAGATAATCACGATTTCTTATAAATTGCGAAGGAATCTATGCTGGGTTAGATAATATTATTGATATATTATTATTGAATAATCGATTGTATGGTCTAGAATTTACGTTATACTAGGGACGGATCTAGGGGGATGGGGTTCAGGAGGTCAGCTGACCCACAGTTAATATTTGTTGACCAAATTGGCCTCTTGGAAATTTTTTTCTCTTTTTAGACATTGATTTGGACTCTTGGATAGTTGGCCCATCGGAGTTACTTGAAAAATGAATGCCATGTATATTCAAAATTTAAAATTTTTCAATTCATAATTTATATTTTAAATTTTATTTAGTTTTTTTTTTAAATTTTAGTAGAAAGTTAAGTAAATCATATTTTATTCCGTACGTTTGTTGCGCTGATAAAATTAGATTATATTTATTAAATAAGTCATTATCAGTGGTATCACTAATTCTAAAATGTAATATAAATATACTTATACACTTTTATGAGAATATTGTGTTTTTTTTTTTTTTTACAAGGTATTCATTTCTAATTCAGTTTCATCCCTAATAAATGGCCTCTTGAAATGGCTTGACCCACAGTTCCCCGACTCTGCGTTATACCGTTGATTATAAATAATACTAATTATAATCAACGGTTATACCACAGACTATGAAAATATGTTTTCAAATATTCTGTGGTTATACTAGGTTCTGGTTTCGAGCAGTACATTTAGTTTTTATTGCAAGAGTCGCATTATTGGCTGTTTACGATGAATAATACACGTGCCGTCCAAGTCCTTTCTTGCTATTACGATGTAGGTAATTTTATTTCTGCAACATCTTTATTTCCTATTAAAAACTAAGAAGTAAATAAAAAAGGATAAAATATACATCCTGTGTGTGTTTGTATGTGAGTATGTGGGTGTGTCATTTGTTATTTCACGTTACAAATGAAAATCGAGCGTTAGGTTTTCATTGTCATCACTGGGTTATAACGGGAACAAAATTAATTCAATCTCCCCTCGCTGCTGTTCTACGTATGTACCTACTCGCAGAAACAATGTCTCGCGTGAATCTAGGACACGGCTATTTTCCCAGCAGAAATCCTACCTAGATAAATAATTAACAATAGAAATTTAATTAGGTTATAATTATAAATAGCCAATAGATATCTAGTAACTTTTTTTAATATTATTATTATTAATTTGTATTATACGCGAAACGATAATATTTCAAATTTGTTAAGAATAAAAATAGCTCTCGATTCGTATAACTTACTATTGAACGCAAGTTAAACGTATAAGATGAAGTCGTAACTACCTTGACCCATCAAGCTGGGAACTAATAATTATTAGAATAACGTTTATTGTGTACATTTTTTCTGCGTTACTGAATGCATGTTTATAATGTTCATATATATTTGATTGTTTTAAAATACGTATAATTTGTGGCTAGTATTATAAATTTCAATTATTTTTTTTTCAGATTCAAAGTTAATATTGCTAAACTATCACCAACAATATTGGACGACTGATGAGAATAGTTTTCCAAGAATCATTTAAACCCCGCACATTTTGGATGAGAATAACCAATACAAATCAAATACACTAGCCTAGAAAAACTGATGTGATATTTTGAGCAAATATGATAATTCATATCAGGTAATTTATTTATATACTCTGTATCACGCTAAAGAATACGATTTCCTGCGATTCGCATATTGTCATAGACGTCCCGAAGGGTAAATGGGGTAAGTGATCTGGGGCGTACAAAGTATTATGAATTTAGGGGGGTTTCATAAAAATTAATAATAATAATAAGAAAAACTAGGTTTTTTATTTTAGATAGGTAAACATAAATTTTTTTTTTTGAAATATCTGAAATATCTGAGTGCAAATAAAATTGTACGACAAATATCATTAAATATGAAATTATGTAAATAATGTAAATAATGTGTTACATTACTACATGAATAAATATTATCGTAGGATAGAATATTATTGATGAATTAAAAATGATAATTGATGATCTAAAATTATGTGTGAATCATAATTATCAGAATTCAAATTTCATCTAATTGATAAGTACTGAAATACGCATTATAATATAACCAAAAAAACCTTAAAATATGCCACAAAAACATAAATAAAAATAAAACAAATTTAAATAAAATAAATATAAAAAAAATAAAATAATAAAAAATAAATTAATACTATTTTCAGTCAATATAAACAATATTTATGGTAAATTCTAAATAAAGCTTTATATAATATTGTGAATTGGCGAATAATATCATCAACACTTTGTAAATGATACTAAAATTCTAAAATATCGTTAACAAGGGTGAAATGAACATGATTTTGAACTTTCCCAGGCTCCTACACCTTCAATATTGATTTTTTAAATCTGAAAAAAAATCTAGTATAGGGTAATTGGAAATGTTACAACATAAAATATCATGAAAAGATAAACGATGTATAATCAAAACTCTCAAAGTTCTATCAAATTCAATAAAGAAAAGATATAGTGTTCCAAGTCACTATTCAAGTTTCATTTCATCCGTGTTGACGGTACTCTAAATATGCAAAAAATATCAAAATAAAAATTCATTTTTTTAGAGTCCCTGGTGCATGAAACAAATTGATATCTCACTTTGCTATTTTTATCTGTATCCTATACCAATTAAAAAATGCTATACAATCTGAGCCCTTAATAATTATATTCATTAATAATGAGTATTATTACAAAATTATCTAGAGATATTATTATAACATCAAAATAAAATAAATATAACTACATTTATAATAATATTAAAAAATTTTTAAGAAATAAGATAAATTATACGCTAAAATGTGAAGTCAATTTTACAACAAAAAAATTAGGGGAGTGATGGGGCATCAAATATAGTTGCTCTAGAGGATTATTGTCAGTTAGGATGGAACTGCATATTGTATATAATATAAAAACATAAACAATTATTACTATTATATCTACTACGCATGATCGGTACTTATATTTTATGTTTATAATTCTCTTCAAATACTAGTACCCTATTGTGCACGATGTATAAAAAAGATTCAATTGTATATCTAAATTAAAAAATACTATTCTGAGAGGTAAAAACTTTATAGAAAACTAAAATTTATAGTATATTTATAAGAGTAATGGTGACTATATTAATATATTAAACAAATAACAAACGTGCCCTAATTAGTTTGATGAAATAGAATTCGTCTATTATAATTTGTATGGGTTCAAAAATTCTTTGTTGATTTTAATATATGAATAAATATATGATTTAATATATTATATGATAAAATGATCGTGCTGTTTTATATTTTATTTGAACGGAAAAATAATTTTGGTTTTCTTTAGGTATATTAACATTTTAATATTATAATAGTACTTAACATTTCAAAAAATAAATAATCGCATTAACAAATCTTGAGCCTGAAAAATCTTCCAAATATAAAACTAAAATTTAATTATTTATTTGTAATTTAATTTGAATAAATATAATGACTATTGATTAGCTATGAACTCAATGAATAACATACACTTTTATTGACTGGGCTCATCATTTGTATATGTCACCACCTAGACTACTGTAGCGAACAGCATAGAATGCGATATGAGAAAATAAATGTTGTTTGTGCAGTCTCGTATCGTCCACCATAAACATTCATACGGCTAATGTCAATACCCTTACGACCTGACCACGCTTAAATTACTAGACTTGCTTATGTCTATGTTCATTCGATACAAACAATTATACACTACTCGTGAATGTGTACTTCAATAATACTGATGATTGAAATTTATCATTTCAATTATAATATAAATATGATTTATGTACATGAATGCATTTAAATACATAATAATTTAATAATCTAATTGTATGGTATGGAATGTGTACGAAAAAAATAAATATTTACCCAAACGGCCAAATTCGGTTTTATACACAGTGCTCAGAATTATTTATTATTTTTATAATCAAAAAGTAAGAATTATTTATGTTGGCCTGATATATGTACTATATTCATTATTTAAATATAATAAAAAACCAAGTATTTTAGTATTTGAAATTCGTTACTTGAAACGATAGTATTCATGTTTTATTCATTGAATGCTTTTCAATATGCTACTCAATATAAATGCATTCTTCATGGATGAGCACGCCAATAATGTTATCGAACCGTAAAGAAATAGTATTATTGACGGATATTCATCAATAACTTCCCAACAATAATTTTATAAAAATATAGAGCATTATATGGTTAGTGTCTTTTATATTTTTAAATTGACGCATGAAAAAATATATTTTAGGAAAAGATTTTACTTTTAAATAATTTATATTAGTACTCGTATGTTATATGTATTTTATTATGAAAGTATATATTATACTCAATGTTTTTATAAATAAATAAAAATCAACTAACAACTGTACTTGATGGTTACCATAACTAATTACATTCAATTAATTTTAAGTTTAACTAATCTGAGATACTGTTTATTACAGTTGTAAATATATTGACATAAAAAAAAAATTAATTCCGAAACTAATGTTAATTAAATAATACTGCGTGTTAACTACGAAATTTATATTTTATTTATTTAAAAACCGTTTAGTTTGTGTAAATAATAATATAGTCTAGATAAACATAGAACTCATTGTTTTATAGGTATATTGTAGCCAGCGTTAAAGTCACTAAACCTTATTTAAACTAAAATCAATTGGTTATATATTTTATTTGTTCAAAAAATATTGAATTATTTTCGTACATAAATTAAAGGTTTTTATAATACATATGTTACTTATACTGATTATGAATTTTTCAAAAAGATAAAATATATTATTGAATTTTGTAGTTTATTTTTCAATCACGAAAAAATAAATACAGAATAAGAATAAATATCTGTAGGTACATATCTACTTGAATTTATAATTTCCACAAAATATCAAAATATCAAATTAAGAAATCCTGTATCACAAAACTTGTTACGCCAAAATCGGGTAATAATGATTAAATCAAATAATAGTCATAATCTTAACGGAATTTGTTGGGCACAAGAAAAAAAAAGCACGAAATAAAATCGAAATGATTTTAAAAAATATATAAAAATTATACGGTGTACAATATAATATCGTTAGATACCCGTATGGTTCATTAGTAGGTTCGTTAGTAGATCAATCGATTGATAAAACGTATGCTATAGAGTTTTTTGAACTTAAAACTATATGTATATTGTGATGGTTAATCCAACCTAAAAATAATGTATAAACAAATACATTGTTTGAAAAATATTAATTAACAGAAATAATTCGATATCCAATTATCTTTAATGTTGAAAAAAAAAATGGATAAAACATTTTTTTACAGTTTATAATTAAAATACGCTATTAATAATGTCGTAGTATTAGTTTTTTAAAAGATTTTAAGATAAAATATTTCTATATATTATTAATTAGAAACCCTGTATACAATCAAAATATTTATCAAGTCCAATGCAACTAAGTCAGTTTTTGCTATTTTACTGTTTTATAGATTATTTCTGAACTTATGCCACCAACAAATTTGCTATAGGTATAAATAAATAAATTGTCATAAGAAAAAAAGAATCAATAATTTTAAAATATATAATATTAATTACGATTGTTTGAAAGTGATGCATATGAGTTATATGTATTTTCCAATGTAAAATTTATGTACTAAGTAATACATATATGATACATATCAATGATTGCAGTTTTAACTTTTGTGCAATAGTGTAGTACGTGACGTTTAATAGATTTTTCAGTTTCACGGGCACTTGAAAGTTCACATTTCAATTAAAAATTAAAAATAGCCCGATTTTTGTTTGGAGTCATTGTAATTTTTATCTAGTTCAAGCAACAATAATTATATAATTCAACATGTTTGGAAAAGTGTGGAAAATATTATGGGCTATTTGACCATCGGTATTATACGTGTATTCTCTAGACTATTCTTCCTGGGTTTCTGTACTTAAAAAAATAATAATTATAGCGCGCGATATCGATTCGAGTGTGCATTAGCGCATATATACATTTGCGCATGAGAATGTCAGCTGAAAAAATATACTCGTAATATACATTTCTAAGAAAAAACTGAGCAATCCGAAAATCATTAAACTGTATAGAAGATATAACCGTGTGTGTGTATTGAGTATGTAAATGGTTGTTATTATATTGTGTATTTGATAAAACGTGTCATTAAACGTTAGACAAAATAGGTATGTATTTATTTATTTACTTGTCAAGACCCAATTATATAAAACTATTGATTATTTGCATACAAACAAGACTGTGGAATAACTGAACATCGAGTATATTAGTGAAGTAGAATAGAAAAAGCATGTAAAAAAATCAAATAAATTAGAAATAATAACGCAGGGCCATCTAAAAATTTTTTTTTACATAATTATTCAACGATTTAATATTATAGCATTAAAAACGTTGATCGGTAAATCGTTAGCAATGGACATAATTTTACGTTGATATGAGCATCTAGTACACGATTAGACGTTTGTTTATTTATGCAAAATGTATTAGACGACCTAGATATAAGAGACGAAGGACAATGAGATCGGAAAGAAAAATCCAACAGTTTTGCAAAACGGATCACAATTCCATTTGGAATTT